CTATCCCTCCTCCTATGTAAGGTAATCCATCACCTCTCTCCCTCTGTGTGTTCTTCCTTTAACTATACCCCCATGCAGTCCTCTCTATTGGCCCCTCTGCAGCAAATACACATATCTAAAATGCCCTTTCATCTCTTCTCCACTTATAGAATTCCAATTCATATTTCAACTCATTGGTATTTCCACAGTGGATGTTTCCTAAGTCCCAGGTAAACTTTAGACCCCTTTGCTCTCCTGGACCCACATATCATTTTATGTTTACTTTAGACTTTACCTGAACAGATTGAAGGCATCTATGTATTTATCTTTTCTACCATACTTGTGAGAAGAAACTATGCCCCAGTCACCTTATACTCCTAGTGCCATGCATAGTGCAGGACACTTCACAGGACTCCATATAATTTTCTGTAAAAAAATGGCTATTTGGCTAAAAAATTCAAAACTACATGAATGTTCCTTCCCTAGAATGTTTCATTTAGGTTTATTTCTTGATTTCTAGTTCTAAAATGTATTTTAAATTGGAACGTTTACTTCTCAGTAAACTTTATATAAAAGAATTAAACTTTGGAAAAAATCATGCAGAGTATTATCCTACAGAAAAAAAATAAATCTCATTGTATGTGGCATACTTAATATCATATATAATAAATTGTAGGCCAAAACTGTTACAAAAAATAAATGTTGAAATACAGATAAAAGAGAAGGGGTATTCCTTTCAGACAAGGCAGTAGCTTTGCATATTAATGAAATTCAAATTTCTCACAGTAAAATAATGATCTGAATAAATTGCAATAACTTAAAATAAATTCACTTTAAACAGCCATTTTGATGAATATGTAATTATGAAGAATCAGTCAAAAAGGATAGTCAGGCATTGTTCCACTGTGATGCTTTTAGAAGCAGGATGACTGATGGCCTTCAATTAACAAAGGCACACTGAGGGACAGGGAAAACTAAAGACAAAAAGAAAGTCTACAGGTTGACTTACTAAATTACACAAAGACATCAATTTGGAAGGTAACAATTGCAATTCTAGTAAGTGGGAGAGTTAGGGATGTGCACAAAATATTATAAATATCCAAACTACTCTAGAATATTTATTGAAAGTGAGACAAAATAAAAGAAAAGAGAAAAAGACAAATAGATGCATAAAGACAAATGAAACGTTTAAAATATTTTATGGCTTTTAATGAACTCGGGGCCTGTGGCAAATTAGTATAAAACTTGGCTTGGCAAAAATTTTCTGTGAATGTTTCAGGCTTAGCAGGCCATATGGTCTTTCTTGCAACTACTAACTCTGCTTTTATAATGCAAATGCAAGCACAGACAATAGGTAATTTAATGGGTGCAGCTGTGTTCCAATAAAACTGTGTTTATAAAAACACAGAGGCCAGATTTGGCTTGCAGGCTGTAGTTTGCCAACCCATACTTTGAGGCAAATGAGCTTTTGATAAAACAGCAGATTGGCTAAAAGCTAATATGTGACTGACAGTGTATGTGTGTGTGATAAATAATTGTTGATTCAATAACTGTTGTTGAAATTACACTATATTTTTATTGTGCTAGGTCCTGTGCTTACATGAGGGTATGGCTAAGTGAGTTAAATAGAGGCATCAGTATTATTTTCCAGTGCCCCAGGTGATCCAAGCTGCAGCCATGTTTGACAACCAGAATGCTGAAGAGTACTTCTCAGTTCATCATATTCGTCACCTTCAGTCTTCTTAAACATAGACACTGATTGAGTAGGTCTGGGATAAGGCTTGAGATTTTGCATTGCTAACAAGTTCTCAGATAACACTGCCAGTGCTGCTCCACAGAACACATTTTGGGTAGCAAGGCACTTACTTTGCATGGTTTTTCAATTCCGGGGATATTGAGGTCCGGCCCCAGAGGTTAATACGTTTGGCATGGGATGTGGCCTAGGAATCGAGACTTCTAAAAGCTTTCTAGGGTGCACTAATGTACAGCAAAGCTTGAGAACATCTGTTGGAAAGTGCATGGCAACTTATCAATTTGTATGTTATCAGTAGCCCTTTTGCTCATTCTCTGCTTTCAGTCCACCCATTCCTCTCCTTTTCAAGTCCAAACATCCAGGTGATGGTGGGGTCAGGATTAGTATTTCGTCTTTTCACTCCTTCCCACCTCTGAGGAGTGGAATGTCATTTAGGATGGAAAGATGAGGCTCGGGCACCTGGGTGTGGGCAGAAAACAAGCAAAAAGTGTTCCAGGGAGTGATTTAAAGGGAAGGCTGGTAGAGACAAATGGGGGATTACACAGACAGTTGCTACAGGGAACTCACCTCTAGACTTGGGCCTGAGTTTGGGGTAGCAGAAACAGCCAGCCATCCACCCTCCTGAGTCCTGGCAGCACCTGACAAGTACGAAGGAATTTTCCTTCCCCAGATGCAGGGTGATGGTGGGTTGAAATGCAAGGGAGACCTCCAGTGGCAAAGTGTAGACATGAACTCTCCCCAAAGCATGAACAGCACAAAGGAACTCAAAGTGAGGAGATGATGATGATGACCATGATGATGGTGGTAAAGGAAGCTTACGAATCATCTGTCTGCTCTATGTGCTAGGCACTATGGTAAGCACTGTCTAGCATTGACTCATTTAACCTCTCGGCAACCAAATTTTATAGTTATATTTAACAATTTAGAAAGTGGCCAAACTGGGATTTGAACCCAGGCAATAAAGGTCAAGAAAGGCAATTACTGTGTAGGTGAGCTCGTGTATAGATTAGTAACTGTTCAAAGCAATCAGCAAACTTTAAAAAGACTCAAGCTAGCCATGTGATATTGATGAGGTATGCAAATCTGCTATTTTAAACTTTTATCTTTGTAACCACACCAGGCACAGAAGAAACGTGTTTTATTTTTTATTTTTATTTATTTATTTATTTTTTATTTTAATTTTTTTGCAGGCAGGGACAACCTTAGGGTTTAACGTGGGTACAGATTTCATATGGTCACAGACAGTGTACTGAGAGGGAGGCGGAGTTTTTAAAAGGGAACATGAGAAACAAACATCTATCATTTCTTTGCAAAATCTTTTGTTTTTAACTGGGGAATAATTTCTTCCTACCCACCCACAGCCGTGAAGTCAAGGTAACAGACTAACTCCTCTCTCCATCATGCAGGAAGAAAGCAGAGGCCACGTTGAGGTTAGGAACAGGCTGATTCTGAGATAGACTCTGAGGAGACACAGGTGGCCACAGACTGGAAGGACGCCATGGTCCCAGTGGGACCAGGAGCTGCCTGGCCGTTCCAATACTTCAACCCAATCCCTAGTGTTAGCTGTCCTGCACTTGGGGCTGGCTGGGCCATACTCTCTCTCTATACTATGTATTGAGCTTATCCAGTCCCATGGCCTCAAAGGCATCTACAACTGATGTCTCCCTGTGTGTATTTCCAACCCTGACCTCCAACCTGAGCTCTATTCATTTACTTGCATGACATTTCCATTGGGACGTCTGATGGGCATCTCAGATTCAGCGTAACAGGCCTTCCCCACCCCTTGTGTCTCCCTGCAGGTGTGCCCCCGATTAATAGATAGCAACACCTTCAACCCAGGCAATTGACTTCAAACACTAGAGACTACATTATTGTTGTCACTTGTCATTACTTGCTTCTGGTCCATAAGTAAATCTTGATTCATCCAAATCCAGTAGAATTTGCCCGTGTCTTCCTTTCTTTAACCTCCTCTTTAGTCCAAGCCCACTTGTCTCTCACCAGAACAAGCTGCAGTGTGTCCCAGCTGGCCTCCCAGCTTCAACTCTCCCCCTGCCTGCCCTGTACACTCTTCAAAAACAAGCAGTCACCGACCTAACACTCGGTGGCATCTATTCTGTTGAATATTTAATATCAGAAATTGACCTCCAGTCATGATTTTATACTTTTCAGGCCTCGCACAGAGGGAAATTTCCGGGTACCATGTTGCTTTAAGCAAGAGAAATCACACCTGCCTGTACTGTAAGGGCAGCCTGCTTGCCCAGCATGGGTGACTATAGGAACTCACCCCACGTCTACAGGAAAGCCAGCCCAGCATTCAGAGGCATTATCACAGTGGCCCAGGGTGAGCTTGTCCAAGGCCCCCAACTAGCTACTGGAATGAACCATCAACATTGCAACAAAGGAAAGAGCCCTTTCATGTCAATCTCTGCCCAGTTCAGTTCCCTTCAATTCTTCTCCAGAGGCAACTGCAACCCTGATTTTCAGGCCATGATTCTATGCATACTTCCTCCCATTTTTCCACTCCACTTACTTATGTATTTTATTTTTACTGTTGACTTTTATACTTTTACCATGCACAGGTACTCACCTTCACCAGGACCCTGCCTCACCTACCCCCATATACCACATTGTTTATAATAGGAAGATTAATTCTGCATTTTCCAGGGTCCCACAGAATACCTCATCCCTCCATCCAGGGTCCACAGAATATCTCCTCCTTCTATCCAGGGTCCATGGAAAACCCCCTCCTTCCATCCAGGGTCCAGAAAATACCTCTTCCCTCCATCCTTGGAGATACCGAGTTGCACTTGATTGAGGCATTGAAGTGTGTGGGGGGGGGGGCGGAGCGAATCCTGCTGGAGAGAATCCTGCATACCTGTTTTAAAACTTAAAAGGCGATTCTGGCTGGTGTAGCTCAGTGGATTGAGTGCAAGCCTGAGAACCAAACAACCGCAGTTCGATTCCCAGTCAACGCACACGCCTGGGTTGCAGGCCAGTTCCCAGCAGGGGATGCGTAAGAGGCAACCACACATCAATGTTTCTCTCCCTCTCTCCTTCCCTTCCCCTCCCCCTCTAAAAATAAATAAATAAAATCTTTAAAAAATACTTAAAAGGCGAAGGTTTTGCAACAATAACTTTATTGGAAGAAACGGTAAAACTGGAACATAAAAGCTGAAACGAACGTTTTGAAGGGCAATATGGCAATAGGCACACTCAGCACGGTGATCAGGGGAGGTCACCCCGAGGCAATCGGGAAGGCAGTCCAGGGTCAGTTCTTCTTGCTGCCACCCAGGGTGAGCTTGTCAAAGAGGTACTCTGCCAGGCCGGATTCCGGAGCTCCCATCTTGCGCAGCTGAGTGACATGGTCCCCCAACTCTTTGATGAACATCACCTGTTGGTGCAGGTAGTGACTCTCCAGGAAATCGCCCAGGTGGCCGTCCCCCTTCTGGGTGGCCAGCTGGTGCAGATCAAGCAGGCTCTGGTTTACCACGATGGACAGGTGCAAGGCACACTCCAGGGCCCTCAGGCCACTCTCCCAGTTGTTGCGGTCAGGCCTGCTGATGTCCCGCAGGTGGATTTGGCCCCCGCGCTGGTTCTGCAGCTGCATCAGCCTCTCCGCAAGCGCCCTCTCCTTACTTGACTGCTGCAGGAGGAACTCAACCAAGTGCTTGCACGACGTGCCATCGAAATAGGACGCCATGGACGTGTACACGTAGGGAGGCGTAGAGCTGCAGGGTGATGTGGGTGTTGACGTAGGCCTCACACTCAGGGTGGTAGTTCTGACGCACAAAGGAGGCCGCAGGCGGGGGTCGCCATGTCTGGAGGTGCAGGCACAGGGCAGCAAGACTGAGGCGGCGCGGAAGCAGGAGCGGCAGTGGAGCAGCAGTGGGGTCGATGGTGGAGGCTGTGGGCCCTCGGAGTGTCCCCGCGGTGGGTGACCTGGGCGGCAGGAGTCGCAATCTATGGCGGACGCAATGAGACGTCCGAGAGTCCCCTCCTGGAATCTGAGAGAGGGACGTCTGCTGGACCGGATCTGAGAAGGCACCGGAAATGGGATCTGTTACTCGGTGCGGGGAGGGGGGTAGGGATGGAGGCCGTTTCCTGGGGGGAGGGGCGAGGATGAGGATGGAGGGGCGGAAGCCTGGTGTTCCAGGTTCCATCAGAGCCTGCTGAGGCCTAGTGACTTTGTGCTGACCGCCTATAAGTTTTTAATTTGGCAATATTTCTATTTTCGAGTACTTTTTATTGTTTTCTAGTTACTTCCTTTAATAGCACCATGTTCTCATCTTATAAACCTAGCTTCTTCCTTAAAATTGGAGAATATTAATTTGGATTATTGGGATATATATCTTTATTTGTTTGTTCATCATGATCTTCTCTTTAACTTTCGCATAATACTTAATACTTTGCGCATTCCCATTTAGGAATAAGGGGCACATTTGATTAGCCTACGTGATTAGTTTGTATCTGAGCTACAATTGTGATGTCCAGTTCACTCACAGACTTATCTTCTGGGAGGGCACAGCATATCAATTAGGGAGCAGTATTTTGTCTTTGATACCCATGGCATGGAATTTGCAGATAAGGTCTGCATCATCCCAAATTCCAAAAAAAATTGGCATTTTTCTGATATTGAAAGACTTCTTTGTATCTCTCTTCCAGGAAGATGTCTCCATCTGCTTCACTTCCCTTCTGTTGTGTTCTGTTTCTAATATGGTTTCCTTTCTGGAATCTTTCGATGGTATAAGGACAATAATCCACCATTACCTGTACCGCCAGTGTGTAGTAGAGCTCGGTAAGAACAAAAAGAAAAAATTAATGTGTTAAATCAGTAAGACTCACATGTTTGTTACAGTAGTTAGCCTACCCTGACTATTTACCCCGTGAAAGGAAGTTCTGGACCAGTACAGGTTAACCCCTTCCCGACCCCTTATTATTTTCTCTTGGTAGAAATGCAGATACCAAAGAAGAAAATTATAACCAAATAATTATGCTGTATTTCTTTTGCTCCCTTTTTTTTTCCTTCATGGAGAATGGAATAAAAAATCCCTGAAAGACATATGGAGAGTGAGGAATAAGTTTTTCTGCTTTCCTCACTCCTGGAGAACAAAATCAGGCTGGTCATGAAGTGCCTGAGCTTAAACCAACAACAGAAGGCATGAGGGTCAGGAAGCATTACTGGCTGTCCCCTGAGCCAGTCCAGATTTGTGAAGGAGATGTGGGTCATGTAAGAACCGGGGGGCATCCACTGGACACACAAAATTGGAGTATGCGTTGTTTGGGGTAGTTCCCCCCCAAAATAAGGATGCTATTCCAGAATCAGTACCAGGGTTAAGAACATGGTACAGGGCATAGTGCTATTTAGTCTTCCATATTGGACTGTAAGGTCCATACACTTAGAGTGAATCCCACATCTGTTTCTGTCTCCCTCATCATACAGCATGCCAGACACTGAGCACATAATTCTCTGAGCAGTTCTTCACCTTTGGGAAAGAGTATAGGTGGGAAGGAGCAACACAGGTGAGCCCCAGAAGCAGAGGGACGGCCTATTTGTGACATCTGTGGGGAATGGGAAACAGCTTCAGTTCCCAAATACAAGATGCCAAATACCATTAGGCAGAGTTGTCTGGCAAAGCTCTCTGTGAAGCCCAGGGCTCAGGAGCCCAGCCACAGTGAGCCACAAGTGGTAAAGTTGACCAGGGAGCCAGTCCTAGTTCTGCTACCAGATAATAAATGAAAGACTTAACGAGTCCTTACCAGACTGGGTGATTTCTGTATGTCACTAACCCTCCTAATTCTGCGAGATAGCTGTTGTTTTAATCACCTGTCATTTGAGGAAACTGAAGTGGAGAAAATAAATTACTTGCCCAAGGTGGGAAGGTGGATTAAAGTCAGGTCTGACTCTCAACTACACCCCTAGTGACCTCAATCTCCTCTTTGATGAAATGGGGTACAAATAGGACACTGGGTCACATAATTCCTTGAGGCCTCTCCCAGCTTTTAAGTTCTGTGAGAACCAGAGGTGCAGACACAACAGCAAATAGCTGTGAGGACTCTGCAGCAGCACGGTACCCACCTCCCCAGCTTTCCTGGCACAGTGCTCAACTTCAAGGCTAAGTTCCTCCTACTCAACGACACACAACAATCTGTCCTTCCTCAGTGTCTACTCAGAAATGAGTTGAGTAAATTTTTGAAAATCACAAAGGGCCACCATTTGAAATTGAACAAAACTTCTCCTGAGTGGGCTGCCAAGCCTCTTTGAGTGTGACTGAGATGAGGGAGTGTAGGTGCTGCGTCACTCTTCAGATGGGCTGGCTACTGCACCCCTCCCTCCCTTTGAGTTGTTTTTGATTTACATTTTGCTGTCTTTTTATGGGCGACATTTCCCAATGAGGTTGTGGTCTCTCGTTTTTTTATCAATGTGGGTAACCAATAGAAGAGGTACTTGGATTGCCTTTTTTCATAGGATTAAAATAAGTTTTCCAGAAAGTTATTCAGCACTTCTCTCTCTCCCAATCGTTGCTGGGTCAGTTCTCCAGATAACTACTGATATTTCTTTATGCTTATTTCCAACCAAATTGTATTCTGTGAGGTCTTGTAAAGATTAGCTCCCCGTTCTATCTGTGAACATTTTGGTTCACAGAAGTCCTAAATAAGTGCTTGCTTATTATATAGACTTCTTTGTCTTAACTAAAACAACAGTTCTCAAATGCGGACCCTAACTCTTTGCACTAGACTTTTGATTTGGGGGTGAGGAGTGGGGTGGAATGTCAGATAACTTCCAGGGTTCATGGTCTGCAGTGAGTGGTCAGCAATAGACTCACGCCTATTTGTTGTACTCATACACAAAGAAATGCAGATCACCACTGGTCTTCAATGTTCTCCTGATGGTTATTTTATGATTGAAGATGTGGGGTTTAAAACTCCAGTACCTCAGGTGTACTTTTTATTCTAGAAGGAGTTCAAACAATTCCTCTGTCACATGTGGCCAGAGATTGTGACTCTCTTGTGGAGACTTCTAGTCTAGCAGTGGCTTCAGAGACCACTTCTGCTTATCAGATAACCAGTTTCACCCAAGGACGAGTGTGGGAGGTCTGTTACAGGGGGCAGGTGAACAGCAGAAGACTTACTTGGTGGTGGAGGCTGCTCTCCATAGGGCGCTGCATCTCATTTACATCCTAGGATTGTTTGCAAAAATAATTGAGGGAACAGGAGTATCCTCTAAGTAAATAACTGTGCAATATATATTTTTAAATAAGAGAAATATTTTCACTCCTTTGTAACATTTATTTATCAAGTTATATAGCACAATTTTCCTAATCTTTGGGATGTAGATCTTGGTACACAGAGTGAGCAGCAGGGCAGAGGGTTGTTTCAAAGTTATTGCAAGTAGTCTTTAAATTCATATTGTTCACTAAGCTTTGCCAGAGGGATGAATAATGGCTCACAATTTTTACAAGTATGCAGATACTCCTGTGATTAAGAAAATACACATTTATTTAAAAGTTGTTGCGGGCAGCTGTCCATATAGTATAGGCCTATCCTGAAGTCATCTGAAGATAGTTCCATTGCTTTCTGCCTGAGGATTTCCATTCTCTCCAAGAGTGAGCTCAGTTTGTAGATGGAAGATCCAAAGGTCTGGCACATACTGTCAACAGGAACAACCCTGAAACAAGGAGGAACAGTGGTTGGTAAATAAATACCCCAGGTTCTTTGTCATGGAAGGGATAATTCTGACATGTGTACTTCACAATCTCTCTGAGACATCCCAGTGGGACTGAATGCTAGTTGACTACAACAACACCTTGCTCATTAATTTATTGTTTATGAGATTCTTTCCCTTCCCTGCTTCACTTTATCATTACCCTATCGTGTTTCTTGTTCTCACTTTTGCAAACAAACTATTTGCAATCAAATTATTATTTCAAGGGTCTTCTTAGGGAAATCCTAAGACAAAACCTTATTTATTACTTGTAAATGTTCAATTTAGGGCTCTTAATAATTAGATATAAAAATATTATTCTTTGTTATATTTTGTTGGGGGATATGAATCTTAGTTTTCAAAAGTCCTTACACACACTAAAATTGGAAATATGGACTCAAAAAGATACTATTTTGTCCTTACACCCAAAACTGTTTTTTTAATTTTATTTAGTTATTTTTCAAGTACACTTTTTTGTCTTTTTCTCCCATCCCAGCCTCCCCGCCACGTGCTCCCCACCTCCCTCCCATTTCCACCCCCCTTAGTTCTCGTCCCTGTGGCCTTCCTATTTGTTCCTCCAAATCCCTCCCCCTTTTTCCCCTTAACTTCCCTTCCCTCTCCCCTCTGGTCACTGTCCCCTTGTTCTCTATTTCAGTGTCTTTGGTGTTTTTTTTTTCTGCTAGCTTGTTTGTTTTGTTGTTTAGCTTCCCGTTAAAGGTGAGATCATGTGGTATTTGTCTTTCAACACCTGGCCTATTTCACTCAGCATAATGCTTTCCAGTTCCATCCATGTTGTTGCAAAGGGTAGGAGCTCCTTCTTTCTCTCTGCTGCATAGAATTCCATTGTGTATATGTACCACAATTTTTTGATCCACTCCTTTATTGATGAGCACCTAGGTTGCTTCCAACTGTTGGCTATTGTAAATTGTGCTGCTATGAACATTGGGGTGCATAGGTTCTTTTGGATTGGTATCTTAGGATTCTTAGGATAAAATCCTAGCCGTGGAATTGCTGGGTCAAAAGGCAGGTCAATTTTTATTTTTCTGAGAAAATTCCATACTGTTTCCCATAATGATTGTACCAGTCTGCAATGCCACCAACAGTGAACTAAGGACCCCTTTTCCCCACAACTTCTCCAGCATTTGTTGTTTGTTGCTTTGCTTATGATAGCTATCCTGACCAGTGTAAAGTGCTATCTCATTGTGGTTTTAATTTGCATCTCTCTGATAGCTAACGATATTGAGCATCTCTTCATGTGTCTCTGGATGTTCTGTATGTCCTCCCTGGAGAAGTGTCTGTTCAAGTCCTTTTCCCATTTTTTAATTGGGTTGGGTGTCTTCTTAGAGTGGAGTCCTGTAAGTTCTTTGTATATTTTGGAGATTAAACCCTTGTCTGAGGTATCATTGGCAAATATGTTTTCCCATAAAGTTGGTTGACTTTTTAATTTAATATGATTTT